CCTGATCCCTGGAGCTGTCCAGCCAGTTCTTCCGGCAGGTCTTGCCCCAGGGTGGGGGTGGGCAGCAAGGTGCCCCTTATCTTCCCCAGGGCCCCAAAGCCTGCTCACCCAGCCTCCTAGCCCCCATCCCTGCCTCCACCCAGAGGCCTTCTGAGCCTGGAAGGCTGAGGGCCCTGGGAGAGGGGAAGCGGGTGTGGCTGGTCAGGATGAGGGTGAAGGCAGACTGAGTCCCCTGGGGGTCTGCAGCCTGCTGGCGGGTTTGCAGGACAGGTACAACAGGACTCCTCTGCAGGGGCAGATGGGAGGGGTTCTAAGAGGAGGTGGAGGGTGGGAGCCCCTGAGACGGGAGTGGGGGTGTCCTGGACTGTGGCTGGCCCCCAGCCCCCCGCAGTGGCCTCCCTTGTCACTCCCTCCCTCTGTTCGGCCTTGGCCTCTGGGTCTCTGTCCTTGTCCCTGTCTTTCTCTTTCTCCCTGTCCCCTCCTGGCCTGCCCCTCCCTCGATGCCTGTCATATCTGAGTTTCTGGTCTACCCCTCTCTGCTCTGTGTCTCTCTGGGTCTTTGTTGGTTGCCTTGTCTGTGCCCCCTCTTTCTTCTCCCGTCTCCTGCCCTCCTTCACCCCTTCTCCCTCCGCCCCCCACCGGCTCTGTCAGTCTGTGGGTCTGACGGTCCAGCACTTCCCTGCCCTGCCTCCATATCTCTCCTGGGGTCTCTCCCTTCACTCTTCGGGGCTCTGGTCTGCCCCCTGTTGGGCTGGGCTTTCTGTCTCTCACTCACTGGAACTCTTCTGTCTCTGGTCTGTTTTCTCTCTGGGTTTACCTCAGCTTCTCTTTGCCCCAGACTCTCCCCCAGCCTGTCTCCCCTGCTCCTCCTGTCTGTCTCAGGCCCCACCCTGGCCTTGGTCTCCCTCCCCTTGACCCTCAGTTGGGTATCCTCCCTCTCCTACCCCTCTTCATGGCACAGCGAGGCAGAGCTTCTAGACACCTGACACCTGGGCATTGTCAGCCAGCAGCCCAGGGTCTGCCCTCTCGCCCACAGTCAGCCTTCTCTAGATGTCCCACCCATCCACCAAGCCAGAGTCCCACATTTGCCCCAGCCCAGCCCGCACCTGTCCAAGGAGCCATAGCCTCCTCAGCCCGGCCTGGGTCCCAGCGGTTAGGGGGTCTAGGGAGAAGAAGGCGGGCACATGCTGGTCTCTAGGAGAACAGAGCAGCCAGTGCTCACACCTTCTGCAGACTCCCTTCCACTGAGACCCCGGTCCAGCCCCCAGCCCAGGGCAGCTGCCTGCCCGCCACTGCCCACGTGTGTGCCTCAGCTTGGGGGTACACATTCTCGCGTGGTTGTCCACCCGAGCACTCGCACAGCCCCTCTGCACAGTGTGCTCCTGTGCATGGATGTGTGTGGGGAGTGCCACTTGCCCCTGTGTTGGTGCCTCTGCCCCTAGGAGCGTTCCTAGAAAGTGAGTCTCGAATGCATCTAGGAGCCAGCGGAAGGGAGGGACGGTGGTCCTATTCTCTCCTTGACGCGTCCTTTGGGCCGTCCCCCCTCCCCTCCCCCTCACCAGCTGCCAGCGGTCCCAGCCAGGGGCCGCCTGCCCCGCCCCCCCAGTCTGTCCCAGCTCCCAAGCCTGCTGCTGTGTTCGCCATATTTGGCCACAGTGCTCCCGCGGGGGGCGGGGCGGGGCTGACATCACCCTCAGAAGGGGGGCCACAGCCTGCTTGAGGGGAGGCGGGCAGGGACTTGGGGGAGGCAGGAAAGTTGCTTTAAAAGTCTGGGGCTGCCTGGGCCGCTGCTGCTCCAGGGAGGCCTCGGGAAGGGGTTAAGAGGGGTCTTAGCTCATTGTAGCCCCTCTTCTCCCTCCCCTCTGACAGCTCTGTGGCAGTGTCAGACTGATACCTGTGGACAGGGCCTGCATCCCAGCTATATCAACAGGGGAGTCGCTAGGTGTGCCCACCCAGCTAGCGTACCCCTGTCCCCTCACTTTTGTTTTTCTTTTTGTTTTTTTAAATTTAAATTTAATTTTTAAAAATAGAGACAAGGTTTTCACTATGTTGCCCAGGCTGGTCTTGAACTCCTGGCCTCAAGTGATCTTCCCAGAGTTCTGGGATTATAGTCATGAGCCACCACCCCCCACCATTTCCTTATTTATTTATTTATTTATTTATTTATATTTATTTATTTTGTTTACCCCTCACATTTCTATTCCAATAATTCCCCTCTGATTGAGGAGTGGGGGCTGGGGCTCTCGATCCAGTTTCCTGGGGTGAGGGACAGGCTGGGAATAAGGGCATCTGGCCCCTCTGACAGGTCAGGGGCACAGCTCCTTCTGGCTGCCCACTGGCCGTGGCAGAGAGATTCCTGGTGGCTCTGGAGGCATCACAGAAAGGGCTGTACAGCAGTGCAGGGGTCCTTGAAGTTGCTCCAGCTGCTTGGACTGAGGGGGACCTCCTGGGCAGACTTAGGGCCATTGCTATGGCAGGTGAACCTCCTTTCTCTCGCCAGGTGGTGGGGTCTCTCAGCACTCTCCCTATAACCTTCCTGGTTATAAAACTGAAGCCAGCTTACCTGGGTTCAGAACCCAGCCCTAGTACTTACTTGTTGTGTGTCCTAAGGCAAGTTGCTTAACTTCTCTGTTTCTTGGATTCTTCATCTATAAACTAGGAATAATAACAGTATCTGCCCCATAGGGTTATTGTGAAGATTAAATGAGTCAATGTGTGTGAAATCCCAGAACAGTGCCTGGCATATGACAGGTACTGTTATTAGTAGTAATATTAAGTCTAAACTCAATAGTTTAGAATAATTACAATAACTAGTTGAATAGCTGAATAACTAACTGAATAATAGTTTAGAATAACCGAGGGCCAGGCGCGGTGGCTCACACCTGTAATCCCAGCACTTTGGGAGGCCGAGGCTGGTGGATCATGAGGTCAGGAGTTTGAGAGCAGCCTGGCCAACATGGTGAAACCCTGTCTTTCCTGAAAATACAAAAAATTGGCTGGGCTCAGTGGCTCACACCTGTAATCCCAGCACTTTGGGAGGCCGAGGCGGGCAGATCACGAGGTCAGGAGATCGAGACCGTTCTGGCTAACACGGTGAAACCCTGTCTCTACTAAAAATACAAAAAGCCGGGCGTGGTGGCAGGCGCCTGTAAGTCCCAGCTACTGGGGAGGCTGAGGCAGGAGAATGGTGTGAACCCAGGAGGTGGAGCTTGCAGTGAGCCGAGATTGCGCCACTGCACTCCAGCCTGGGAGACAGCGAGACTCCATCTCGGGAAAAAAAAAAAAATTAGCCGGGCATGGTGGCACGCGCCTGTAATCCCAGCTACAGGTACGTGGCACCATGCTGAGCGGGGAGGCTGCATGGGAGGCTGAGGCAGGAGAATCGCTTGAACACAGGAGGTGGAGGTTGCGGTGAGCAGAGATCGCGCCATTGCACTCCAGCCTGGGTGACAGAGCAAGACTCCATCTAAAACATAAAAAATAAAACATTTTAAAAAGAAAAAAGAATAACCTAATAACTAGCTGACATTCAGGCCCCCCAGGCCCTCCCCACCTCGTTCTACTAGTGACCCCCTCAAGCCTCCCTAAGCAAACAGGTGGCTCTGCAGAGAGAGTCCACCCCCACTCAAGCAGCAGGACCTGGAATTCATCTTCCTCTCCCTGGCTTCTGATGGGGTCCCCCACCTCTCCACCCCTCCCTTTTCCCTGCTGCCCAGAGCTAAGTCCCAGGATCCAGCCATCATGGGCTCTTAGGTTTCCAGGACCCTGAATACATTGGACATGTGGGTTCTGGGGCTGAAGGGGATTTGAGGTGAGTCTTGGGGTTGTGAGTGATGGGGGCCTAGTGGGGTGTGGTCCTAACTAATAACTCAGCCTGGTAGGTTCAGGGCGCTCACAGTTTACAGAGCCCTGGCCCACATGGAGGATGGGCCAGGGCGGGGGCGGGCGTGTGGGTGGTTTACGGGTGTGAGTGGTTTACAGGCTGCTGTGGGGCCTGGAGGTGCGGGAACAGGAAGTGGGATAGAGGAGCGGGTGAGATTGAGCCAGGCTGTTGGCCAAGCACCTTCTCAGCTGCTCCCTCTCCAGTTCCCTTTTTGTAATTCCTGGGGCAGTTCCTGCCCCACGTTAGGCCCGTTGGCAGAGTTCTGGTTGGTTATCGATTTGGGGAAGGTAAAACGATTCCCTTCCTGGGTCAGGGACCCTCCTTGTCCCCTGAGGGGTCCTTAGCTGGGTTGCATTGATGCTGGGGCAAGAGTGAGGGGTAGAGTTCTCTGACTGGGGATCTGGACACTGGGGAGGAGGAGCTGACAGGGAGAGCTGAGGAAGCACAGCCCTGCCCCTCTGCTCCTCCTGTCTGTGCTCCTTAGCATGCCTTTGGCAGCTGCATGACCTTGTGAGCCTTAATTTTCCTCTCTGGATAATGGGCGTTATTCTCTACCCTTCCTGCTTTAGTGTTTTTTGTTTTTGTTTTTTGAGACAGGGTCTGCTCTGTCACCCAGGCTGGAGTGCAGTGGTGCCATCTCCACTCACTGCAAGCTCTGCCTCTGGAGTTCAAGTGATCTTCATGCCTCAGTCTCCTGAGTAGCTGGGATTGCAGGAGTGTGCTGCCATGCCCTGCTAATTTTTTTTTTTTTTTTTTTAAAGATGGAATTTTGCTCTGTTGCCTAGGCTGAAGTACAGTGACGTGATCTCAGCTCACTGCAACCTCTGCCTCCTGGGTTCAAGCGATTCTCCTGCCTCAGCCTCCTGAGTAGCTGAGATTACAGGCACGTGCCACCACACCCAGCTAAGTTTTGTATTTTTAGTAGAGATGGAGTTTCACCATGTTGGTCAGTCTGGTCTCGAACACCTGACCTCATGATCCAACCTCCTTGGCCTCCCAAAGTGATGAGATTACAGGCATGTGCCACCGGGTCCAGCCCTGATATATTTTTAGTAGAGACGGGGTTTCACCATGTTGGTCAGGTTGTTCTCAAGCTCCTGACCTTAAAGGATCCGCCCGCCTTGGCCTCCCAAAGTGCTGTGATTACAGGCATGAGACACCGCGCCAGCCTAGTTTTGTGAGGTTTGAATGAATATGAAAATGCCTTTTCCCTACAAAAGTGCTGTGTTGGTGTGAGGCATTGTTGTTGTTACTGATTACGTATTTCTTGAGTGTCATGAGCCGGGCATGTGGCTAGTACTTTGTCATGAGCTCATTTAAGTTTTAACCCTCACAACCTCAAGGAGACCCTTTTCTCATTTTACAGGACTGAGGCCTAGAGAGGTGAAGTAGCGCGTGCATCCCAGGTCACACAGCTCTGAACAAGCTGTGGTTGGTTGTTACCTCCATTCCACCCGGAGCACCTGTTCCTAGGGTGGGCTTGGGGCTGGGGGCGGAGCTCCAGACCCAGCGGTTGGGGGATAGGAGATTGCTGTGGTCGAGGAGGACCCTGGCCCCAGCTCCTCTCTGTCTGTCCCCCAGGCTCGGCCGCCCAGCGGGCTCAGGCCCAGAGCCCAGAGCAACCAGCACAATAGCGTCCAACAGCTGGAACGCCAGCAGCAGCCCCGGGGAGGCCCGGGAGGATGGGCCCGAGGGCCTGGACAAGGGGCTGGACAACGATGCGGAGGGCGTGTGGAGCCCGGACATCGAGCAGAGCTTCCAGGAGGCCCTGGCCATCTACCCGCCTTGCGGCCGGCGCAAGATCATCCTGTCCGACGAGGGCAAGATGTACGGTGCGTGCAGCGGGGGCGCGGGCGGGACTGCGGCCCTTCCCCCTGCTCTCTGCCCTCTCACCCAACCGGTTTGGTGACGTCGGAGGCTGCCAGCCGCTGGCTGGGCGAGTCTGGGCTCGCAAGCCTGTGTGTCTGGATCCTCCTCCGCGCTCCTCCTCATAAACAAGCCGGGCTCGCCCCCAATCCAAGGCGCAGCCCACACCTTGGCACCCCCGCCTGCTCCTCCTCTCCTCCCCGCTACCGGCCTGGAGGTTTCGAGGTGACTCAGTGGGCCCAAGAAAGTGGGTCAGCCCAGTCTGTGCCAGTCGAGACCCGGAAGGGGGTCCCTTCCCGGAGGAAGATGTGGAAAGGAGGCCCGGTGACAGTCGCAACGCAGTTCCCTCCAGTGCGGGCTGTGGGAGGTCGCACCGGGACAAAGGCCTGCGTTGGGGCCGTGAGGACGCGTGCCCTTCTCAGTCCCCTTCTCCACTCCTTGTGTTTGCTGGCCCTTCTCTATGCCATCTTGCCCACTTCCAGAAGGGAGTGTCCCCTCTTGTCCAGCCCTGAGAGGGCTCTCCCAGAGCTGCATTTTTGGGATAACTCGACCCTTCTGGGCCTGGTTCCTGGCCAGCTCCCCTATTCCTCCTAGCAGCCCATGGCTGAGCGAGGCAGGCCCAGCCCTTCCCAGGGCGCGGCTGTGGGAAGGGATCAGGGCTGCTCCGTGTCCCTTGGCCACGCCCCCTTGGCCACGCCCACCCCAGCCCCAGAGCCCCACCTTGGGGGCAGGCAGATGGTCCAGGGTGCCTTCCACAGGGTGGGTGCTGCCTGCCCCCACTGCTGCCTCCCAGGCTGGGGGAGCCCCACAGGGTATTTTTAGACAGGGTGGAGAGAGTGGGGTGGAGAGGGGCTGGCGGGAAGGGAGGAGCAATGGGGCTGGTTCAGTCATTGGAATGGAATTTGGAGAATTTGGCCGATCTGGGGAGGCCATGGGGCTGGGGGGCAGATAGCCTGGATTTGGGGGTAGAGGTGTACACCTTGACCATGCTGATGTGGGCTTAGCTGTGTGGCCCAGGCATCCCCCTTTCAGGCCCAAGTCCCTGGACACTGGCAGCTTCTGGGCCCTCAGAGGGTCTGTAGTACAGAACAGACCCTGCACCCCAAGGCTCACAAGGCTGTCACAGGGTGGAGAGACACTGGGGACTGGTGACATGGGCGTAAAAGGCACAAGGACTTGGCGACATGCTCAGTGACACATCTTGACAAGGCCGCCAGTGTAGGAGGCACATTGGAGGCGCTCAATGCTGCCTTCCTGTCCTTCCTGGTCTTTCACCACAGAAGGGAAGGGACTTGTCCAGGGTAAAGACAGAGTAAGGGCAGGACATCCACCTGGGGCAGGCTCATTCACACGCCTCCACAAATCCATGCACTAAGAGCGTTGGAGCTGGTGACACAGGCAGGAAGCACTTCAGGGGGCTGGGAGGATGGGCGTGCCTGGCCAGGACTGGCCCTACCCTGCTACTGTCCTGCTGACCTGTACCACAGCCACCCAGTCTGTCTGCAGGGAAGCCTGTCAGGGTGCCTCGGCCCTCCTTCCTCCTACCTTACAGCTCCTAATGCACCCCTCCCCTGAAGAGCAGCCCCTCCAGGTCCTGGAGGCGGTAGGATGCAGCTGAGACTCCCCAGCCACTTTTGCACGCCCTGCACGTGCAGCTTGGAGTGAAGAGAGTGGTGAACAGCAGAGCAGTGTTTTGGGGAGGGACCTGGAGTGGCTTCCCAGTGGGGTGGGGGTCTCCAGCCTCTGGCTCCACCCTTTGCCCACTCCTCATTTTCTCTCTCACCCCAATCTAGGCCGAAATGAGTTGATTGCACGCTATATTAAACTGAGGACGGGGAAGACTCGGACGAGAAAACAGGTAGAGAGACGGTTTATGCTGGGTCCACCACCCACACACTCTGTCTCAGCTGCCCCGGTCAACCCCTTGCCCCTACCCTGCCCACCTCCTCGAGGCTGCCCCCGACCTGGCCTGCCACCCTCCTTGCCTCATCACGCTCCCCTTACGCCCTCGATTTTACCCCCTCCCACTCCCGAGCAGCTCCATTCACCCTTCCCTCTTCTCTTGGAGAGATGGCCCCACTGTCCTTTCTGACCACCCACTACCCTGCCCAGGGCCTTTGGTTCAGGGACCACAGATAAGCCCATGGGGCTGCTGTGTCTGCTACATGGTCTCTGCCCTGAGTCACCAGCCAGGGAGCCAGACGGTCAGATGGACGGGTACAGAGCAGGGTGGCGGGGCTGAGAGGGGGTGGGTGCAGGGCACTCTGGGACAAGCAGCCAACCCAGACAAAGCTAGGGGAGTGGGGAGAGAGTGCTGGGAAGGCTCCCTGGAGGAGGTGACACTAGGGATGTATTTTTAAGGAGGAATGGGAGTTAGCCAGGCAGAGAAAAGGGAGAGGACCCTTCCTTCCAGGCTGAGGAAGTTGGATATACAACTAATCATCATGGTAAACCCATACAGAGCTTCCTTTAAGTTAATTCGTTTAATCATCTCAGCAACCTTCTTAGATAGGTACAGTAATTATCTCTTTTTTATGATGAGGAAACTGATGCATAGGGAAGTTAAGTAGTTTCCTCAAGCCCCCGAGGCAGGAAAGAGCCATGCCTGTGGGCAGCATGATGTGGCAGAGGGAGGGTGGGGACTGCTGGGGTAGGGGACACTCAGCAGGAGACATGGAGGACAGGTTCCCCAAGGGGCAGCGGTGGGCCACAGGAGGGTATGGAGCAGGGAGTGGCAGGTGGCAGCTGTTGAGGAAGGCCCTCAAGCAGCCGGGACAATGGATTAGAGAGGGCTGGGTGGAGACAGGGAGGCTGGCTATTGGGAGCATAAGCAAAGGCCTAGATCAACAGTGCCAGGGCCTGGGACAAGGGTAGTGGTGGTGGGAATGGAGAAAAATGATGATGTAAGAGACAATTAGTGGCTTGTGGTCCAGGGAAGGTGGCAGTGTGGTGACAGAAATCTGAAGGGGAGTGGATGGGAGTGATGGCCCCACCGCCTGGGAGAGAGGCCAGGCTGGAGGCAGGACCTGGAGGAATGGAGGCCAGTGCTTCCCTCACGCTCCCAGCCTCCTGTCCTGGTGGGATTTGGACCCACAGATCCCCATGGTGCATATGACAAGTCTGGCCTGTTCCACCTCCTTCTCAAAGGAAGGTTCTGAGCTTCCCCACCCAGTGTAGGGGCAGCAAAGATCCCCCATGCATTCAAGCATTTATGAACCACCCTCCCTGAGTCTAGCTCATGCAGCACCAAATGTATTCACTTAGCTAATGATTGACCTACTGCTATGTTCTAGGCACCAGGGATACCACATGGAGGTGCACACACAGGCCCTGTTCCCTGGAGCCCTTGGGTTCAAATACTAGTTCTACCTGGGAGTGGGCAGTAGTTGGCCTCCCACCCTTGTGTCCTCAGCCTTTGAGTTAGTTAACATGTGAAGACTCTTAGAACAGCATAAGCACTGCAGAAGAATTTGCTGCTGCTATTATTATTATTCCAGTCATTATTATAAACAGAAAGCTGTTCTGAGCTCAGAAGCGAACTCTCAGCAGGTCCTCCTCTACCCAGAAGAGGTATTCATAGGAACCTGTTAGTCAGAGTGGGAAGGGGCCAAGGGTCATTAAACTAGGTCACTGGTTTTGTTTTTTTTTTTAAGTTTTTAAAATTACTGTAGAGATGGGGGTCTCGCTATGTTGGCCATGTTATTCTTGAACTCTTGGCCTCAAGCAGTCCTCCCGCCTCAGCCTCCCAAAGTGCTAGGATTACAGGCACGAGCCATTGCATCCAGCCACGCTGGGTCACTGTGAACTGAGGCCAGGGAGGACTGCAGAGGTGGGCACATCCCAGCCCCTGAATTCAGGGTCCACCATCACACCTGCTCCTGCCCAGCATCCTGAGAGGGCTGCCCAGAAAAGAGCTTTTACAAACCAGCTGTTGACAAGCTCGGAATTTTAGAAACCACTGCCTTCATCGTAAGGGCATAAGGTACAAGGATGAAACTCCCCTTATCTTTATTCTTTCTTAGAACTCTGGGCTTTTAGATCCCAGTGAAAGGGGACCCATCCTCTGGTTGTGAGAACAAGGCCTGTCTTTATGTGTTAAAAAGAGTAACCACTGACAAGGTTTTTTTTGGTCCTTTTAAAATTTACTTTTGACCTGTAATCCCAGGACTTTGAGAGGCCGAGGCGGGTGGATCACTTAGGTTAGGAGTTTGAGACCAGCCTGGCCAACATGGTGGAACCCCGTCTCTACTAAAAAATACAAAAATTAGCCAGGCGTGGTGGTGCGCACCTGTAATCCCAGCTACTCGGGAGGCTAAGGCAGGAGAATCACTTGAACCCAGGAAGCAGAGACTGCAGTGAGCCGAGATCACGCCATTGTACTCCAGCCTGGGTGACACAGCGAGACTCCATCTCAAAAAAAAAAAAAAAAAAAAAAATTACTTTTGGCAAAGAAATGCAGTTTTAGGTTTTTACACATACATACATGCAGCAATTTGTAGCAAGCACAGTGCCTCCATATGGACAAAAGAGCTAAATATTAAGTTAGAATGAAGCTCCGTGTGACTTTCAGCTGTTACAGAGTCAACCATGTGGAGGTAGTCTTCTGAGCTAAGGGTCCAAGCGAGTCCTGGTAGCGTAGCTTGGTGGTGAGTGCAGTCAGAGTGGGGTCTGGAGTCAGACCGCCTGGGTTTGAATCCTGGCTGTGGCAGTCAGCTGTGTGACGGCTTAACCTTTCCAGGCTTTAGTTTTGTCATCCGTAAGTCAGGGATATTAGTACCTCTGTTTTTGTGTTGCTGTAAAGATCAAGGGGTTGGTATGTGTAAATGCAGAGGACGACAGTATCTGTGCTCAGTAAATGTCTGTTACTATCACAACATGAAGTGGTCAGTAATTTTGCTGAACAGGAGTCTGATTCCTGGGCTCAGTGAGGCAGTGTGAGGAGCACCCACCCAGGTCCTAACCAGGTGGCATCACGTACATACTCACTGTCAGGCTGTGATTAAAGAGAAAAAGGAGCTTTCTTTGTAAGAATAAAAACAACTTGCCAAGAAAGCCACTTGCCAATGCTGGAAGCATGAAGCGGCATCAAGGATCTGTGTGTTTCCTGGGGAAAACAGTGACATTTGGGTTCTCTGTGCCTCTGGGTCAGATCTTTGACAAGGTCAAGGGTCTGTTGTGTCAGCTGGGCACACAGCACGGCACACACATCCAGACTGTGATTAGCTCAAGTTGCCAGTGGAGGCTTCAAGGAGGAGATTGCTAGAGAAGAAGTGCAATTAAGAACACCTACTGAGTACATATATACACACTAGCGTATATTAGCCCAAGCAAAGAGAAGGTGTATTAGGGGAAAAAGTTATGGGAGCAACGCAGGAGGGCCAGGCCTGGTTTCATAGGCTGGGGCTGTGGTTGGGGTTGACAGGAGGACTCAGGCAGTGGTACCAGGGAAATCCCTGGTAGAGGATGTGGCCTTGGTGTATAAGCTAATGACCAACAGGAGCACCATGGCCATTGCTAGCACCTGTGGTGCCAGTTGGAAAAAGGTGGTCTCCTCTGAGGACACCAGTGAGAAAAAGTCACCCTTTTTGGGGGGAGGACAGGGTTAGGCACAGCCTTGTACAGTGACACATAGCTTGGGCAGCAGAACTTGGGCTGGATTTCAACCCTCACTGGTGCCCTTTGGGCCAGTGAACAACCTGTGCAACTGTACATGGTGGCCCTGGAGGCTACTGTGGCTCTTGATCATGATAAGCCAAGAAGAGAACAGATTTGGCAGTGTTAAGAGGTGTCTGAACCGGGCACAATGGCACATGCCTATAGTCATAGCTATTCGGGAGGCTATGGTGGGAGGATCGCTTGAGCCCAGGAGTTTGAGATCAGCCCAGGCAACATAAACCCTGTCTCAAAAAGAAAAAAGTTCCCCCCATTTACATGTAGTCCCCTAGAGATGAGGGGACTGGGATGCTCCTTGCCCGTGGCCACCCCATGGCTGTGCCTCCTCACTATCTGTGTTTTCCTCTCTGGCGGGGCGCGGGGCGGCCCCTAGGTGTCCAGCCACATACAGGTTCTAGCTCGGAAGAAGGTGCGGGAGTACCAGGTTGGCATCAAGGTATGTTGGGTGCCTGGCGGGGGCCTTCAGCCCTCCTGGGCCCCTCACCCACGGCGCTATCTCTGCATAGCTCAGGCCTTTCCTTGGCCAGCTCTCCAGCCCCACTGTGCCTTTTTTCTGGCTGAAGTTCTGTTCCTGCCTCTCCTTCTGCTCTTTCTGTTCTTTTTCTCTTTTTTTCTTTCTTTCTCTCTCTACAGGTCTCTAGCCACTTGCAGGTTCTAGCCAGGCGGAAATCTCGGGAGATTCAGTCCAAGCTGAAGGTATGGGGCCCCTGCCACCCAGCCTGGCCTGCCCAGCACCCTCCTGGGTGCAGGCCTGTCGCTGCTCTGTGGCTCCAGCCTGGGGCAGGCAAGGGGCTGAGAAGCTGTGAGGGGGTCCAGAAAGAAACACAAGTGGCAGCAGGAAGCCCAAGGGCCCTGTCATTGAGGGAGAGGGAGACCATCTGGGGGCCACTAAGGCCCACCCCTCCTCTTCTCTGTTTTTCTTTTTCTCCTTCCTCCTGACTGCTGCTTACTAACTGCATGGGGACTTCTGTGGGCAGGGAGGAGGCCCCGGGGGTACTGGCCGGCAGGGCTATCGAGGTGGGCATGGCAGTTCCTTGCAGATCTGGCTGTCCTGCAACTGCGGATCTCAGAGTCTGGGGTTCATGACTGAGGCCCTTCTCAGGGCCTCATGCTGGCCGTGTGCTCTTCTCCCTGTCCACAGCAGTGCAGAGGAGGGGGCCTCTTACCTCCAAGCCCCCGTGTCCAGAGCCTAGTTCTAGAACATATGGACAGACCCAGAGGGTGCCAGCTTGTTTTCCCTCACTCTGCCCTTTCCACGGCTTGACCCAGCTGGCAGGCACTCCCTCTGGGGGGACAGGGAGGGTCTACTGAGCTTCCTTGGGCTCCTCGGAAGCTAAAACTCATGGGCACTGGGTGGAGGTTGGCGCAAAGACGTCCTTCACCCCACAGCCCTGATGCTGCACATGTCCTCTAATCCATCTTCCCTCTCTCCCTCGCAGGCCATGAACCTGGTAAGTAGCACGGCCCTCTCCAGTGGGAGCGGGGAAAGGGTCTTAACACCTAATACAGGATTTTCAAATGACAGATTATGAAACCAGCTTAATAGGTGTGCAAGCCTCATTTTTAGAAAACGAAATGGCCGGGCGTGGTGGCTCATGCCTGTAATCCCAGCACTTTGGGAGGCCGAGGTGGGCAGATCACAAAGTCAGGAGATCAAGACCAATCTGACCAACATGGTGAAACCCCGTCTCTACTAAAAATACAAAAATTAGCCGGGCATGGTAACGAGTGCCTGTAATCCCAGCTACTCTGGAGGCTGAAACAAGAGAATTGCTTGAACCTGGGAGGTGGAGGTTGCAGTGGGCCAAGGTTGCGCCACTGCACTCCAGCCTGGGTGACAAAGCAAGACTCCATTTCAAAAAAACAAAAAAATGAAATACAGTGGTTCTCAAAAAACCTTAGAGTGCATCAGAATTACCTGGAGGCTTGTTACAACAAATTTCTGGGCCTCACCTCAGAGTTTCTGATTCAGTAGGTCTGGGCAGGGGCCTGAAAATGTACATTTCTGGTTGGGCATAGTGGCTCATGCCCGTAATCCCAGCACTTTGGGAGGCCAAGGTGGGACAATCCATCGAGCCCAGGAATTTGGACCAGCCTGGGCAATGTAGCAAGACTGCATCTCTACAAATAAAAATTTTAAAAAATAAAAATGTCAGCCAGGCACGGTGGCTCATGCCTGTAATCCCAACACTTTGGGAGGCAGAGGCAGGCGGATGACCTACGGTCAGGAGTTCGAGACCAGCCTGACCAACATAGAGAAACCCCCGTCTCTACTAAAAATACGAAATTAGCCGGATGTGGTGGTGCATGCCTGTAATCCCAGCTACTCGGGAGGCTGAGGCAGGAGAATCGCTTGAACCCGGGAGGCGGAGGTTGTGGTGAGCTGGGATCGTGCCATTGCACTCTAGCCTAGGCAACAAGAGTGAAATTCCGTCTCAAAAAACATAAATAAATAAAAAATTAAAATGTACATTTCTAACACGCTTCCAGGTGATGCTGGTGTGTTAGTCCAGGGACCATACTTTGAGAACCACTGATGAAACAGAATAGAAAATAGGAGAGTAGCCGGTCACGGTCGCTCATGCCTGTAATCCCAGCACGTTGGGAGGCCGAGGCGGGTGGATTACAAGGTTAGGAGATCGAGACCATCCTGGCTAACACAGTGAAACCCTGTCTCTACTAAAAATACAAAAAAAATTAGCCAGGCATGGTGGTGGGCGCCTGTAGTCCCAGCTACTTGGGAGGCTGAGGCAGGAGAATGGCGTGAACCCGGGAGGTAGAGCTTGCGGTGAACCGAGATCACGCCACTGCACTCCAGCCTGGGCGACAGAGCCGAGACTCCGTCTCAAAAAAAAAAAAAAAAAGGAAATAAAATAGGAGAGTACATGACATACAGTAAGAGGAAATATCTTGATATATATTGGCCTTTGGAATAAAAATAATTTCTTACTGTGGTTGTGGTCAGCGGTGATGGGCACTTGGGGACCTGAGGCCAGGAAGGTGCAGAGACTCTCCCAAGATCACACAGCAGAGCTGGGGCTGGAATCCAGGCCTGGATCTTCGGGAACACCTGCCATCCTAGTGCCTTGGATTCTGCCAGGGTTATGGGAGGGGCCCTAAAGCAAATCTGGGCCTCATCCAGCCTGGCCCTGGCTTCATGCAGCCCCTTCTCCCCAGGACCAGGTCTCCAAGGACAAAGCCCTTCAGAGCATGGCGTCCATGTCCTCTGCCCAGATCGTCTCTGCCAGCGTCCTGCAGAACAAGTTCAGCCCACCCTCCCCTCTGCCCCAGGCCGTCTTCTCCACTTCCTCGCGGGTACATGGGTCCCAGGAGGTGGGCTGGTGTGGGGGTGTGCCATAAAGGATGAGCTTTAGTGGGGTTCATGGATGCTGAGGGGCCCCTGGGCCTTGTCTCATCCCTGCAGTTCTGGAGCAGCCCCCCTCTCCTGGGACAGCAGCCTGGACCCTCTCAGGAGTGAGTACTGTGGCTCATCGTCCTATGCCCTCTTCCTCCTGGCAGCCGCACAGGGCTTCCCTCCCATTTGGGCTCCGGCAACAGCTGAGCAAAGTATTAATTCAAAAATAGAGGGATGACAGGGATGCAGGCTGGGTGGTGGCTCACACCTGTAATCAGTCCTAGCACTTTGGGAGGCCGAGGTGGGAGGCCTGGGCAACATGGCAAGACCTGCTCTCTCAAAAATCCCAGCACTTTGGGAGGCCGAGGTGGGAGGCCTGGGCAACATGGCAAGACCTGCTCTCTCAAAAAAAAAAAAACCAAAAAAGAAAAAAATTAGCTGGGTGAGGTGCGTGCCTGTAGTCCTAGCTACTTGGGAGGCCGAGGCAGGCTAGGATTGCTTGAGCTCAGGAGTTCCAGAGTTCCAGGCTGTAGTGAGCCTTGATTGCACCATTGCAACTCCAGCCTGAGCAACAGAGGGAGACCCTGTCTCTGGAAAAAAAAAAAAAAAAGCTGGAGAGCGGCAACAGGAGAGTGGATGCTCTGGCTGTTCACCTGTGCGTTCTCTCATCAGCATGCGTCCACTTGTCATCTGTCCCTTTGTTTACTTTTCACTCAGTTTCTGAGGCAGTCTCTCAGTTAACCAGTCAGGTGGTCAAGTGTGCTGGTTCTTCAACTCTAAAACAACTTTCATCAAAAGACCCTCAGCTTAAGGAGCTTAAGGAGCAGCTTTTCATGGTGGGGCGTGGGGAGGGTTGAAATCCTACATTAAATGCGCAGATCAGCTGGGAGACGCAGCAGGATTTCACAAAAGCTAAAATGTGAAGAAAACCAAAAGCTTGCGAGTTAGCTTTTCAGCATGCGTTTCTGGGCTCAGCAGAAGGGCTGGGTGGCTTGCTCCTGGGGTCTTGGAAGAGGGGCTGGGCCAGGTGGAAGGTGGGGAAGAGGGAGCCCTCTCACCAGACTGTGCTTTTGTCTGCAGCATCAAGCCCTTTGCACAGCCAGCCTACCCCATCCAGCCGCCCCTGCCGCCGACGCTCAGCAGTAAGTTCCCCACACGAGGTGCTCTCCCTTGGCACTTGCACCTCCGCTCAGGAGAGCTGGGGTCCAACTGCGTGTGTTTGCTTTGGGAGGGAGGGGGTTGTGACATCTATAGGAGACTGAGACAGGCCAGGAATAGCCCCTTTACCTTCTACAATGTTGTTCCAGATATCTGGCACAAAACCATAGCCAAGCTGGGCGTGGTGGCTCACGCCTGTAATCCTAGCACTTTGGGAGGCTGAGGCAGGTGGATCACCTGAGACCAGGAGTTCAAGACCAGCCTGACCAACATGGTGAAACCCTGTCTCTACTAAATACAAAAATTAGCTGGGTGTGGTGGCGCATGGCTGTAGTCCCAGCTACTTGGGAGGCTGAGGCAGGAGAATCACTTGAACCCAGGGAGTGGAGGTTGCAGTGAGCCAAGATTGTGCCATTGCACTCCAGCCTGGGCAACAAGAGTGAAACTCTATCTCAGAAAAACAAAAAGCCATAGCCGGTACACAGCTACAAGCACACACCACCAAAACCTACATTTATACACATCTCTATGGGTAGGAAACTCCCAATAAGGAAATGCACCGAAATCTTAACAAGCCTTTCTCTCTCTAGATGATGGGATTCTGGGTAATTGTTCTTTCCCTTTTTTACTTCTCTGTGTTTCCTGTTTAAACGCACATTAATAGTCACACAAGGAAATGTTTTTGATGTATACTACTAGGGCCACCACATATGGTTGTGCAGGTTGTACACTGTACAAGGACACCTAGTAGGGGAGTCAAAATCCAACCCATGTTCCTTGCCAAAAGGGGCACCTTTGCAGGCTGGGGGCAGCTTTGTCAGTAAGCGCCTACATGCGTCCATGCAGATGAGAATCTCTCTCGCCCTCCCAGGTTATGAACCCCTGGCCCCGCTCCCCTCAGCTGCTGCCTCTGTGCCTGTGTGGCAGGACCGTACCATTGCCTCGTCCCGGCTGCGGCTCCTTGAGTATTCAGCCTTCATGGAGGTGCAGCGAGACCCTGACACGGTAATGTGTTTGGGGGTGAGAGTGAGCCTTTGCACAATTGTGGAGAGGACAGCCAGGTGATCCAGGACTGCAACTCAGGGTGCTGGGATTGGGGGTCTGGCCTGTTCAGGAAGCTCCAGGCAGTTCTGTACCTGTGCAGTGCTCCCTTCCCCGCCTCCGGGCCTGCAAGCCTGAGTACTCTCCTGACCCTGTCTGGGCCCTCCCCACAGTACAGCAAACACCTGTTTGTGCACATCGGCCAGACGAACCCCGCCTTCTCAGACCCACCCTTGGAGGCAGTAGACGTGCGCCAGATCTATGACAAATTCCCCGAGAAAAAGGGGGGACTGAAGGAGCTCTATGAGAAGGGGCCCCCTAATGCCTTCTTCCTTGTCAAGTTCTGGGTGAGTCCCCCTGGCCCTCTCTGCTCCAAGCCCCCTTCCCTACCACAGAGGTGCAACATCCAGGCCCACTGCATTGACCTCTGACCCTGCTCCATCTCCTCGTGGCTTGTGAGCAGAGTGTCAGAGATGGATCTTTGGGCAGGACTCTGATGTGGTGTGGCGGGAATACTTCTGGTCTCTGCCAGCACCTAACACCCCCGACCCCTGTGCCCAGGCCGACCTCAACAGCACCATCCAGGAGGGCCCGGGAGCCTTCTATGGGGTCAGCTCTCAGTACAGCTCTGCTGATAGTATGACCATCAGCGTCTCCACCAAGGTGTGCTCCTTTGGCAAACAGGTGGTAGAGAAGGTGGAGGTGAGTGTGGGCTCTGGGTGGCTTGGTGGGGCTGGGAGCAGGCAGGCTGAGTGATGCCTTCTCCATGTTCTCTGCAGACTGAGTACGCCAGGCTGGAGAACGGGCGCTTTGTGTACCGTATCCACCGCTCGCCCATGTGCGAGTACATGATCAACTTCATTCACAAGCTGAAGCACCTGCCTGAGAAGTACATGATGAACAGCGTGCTGGAGAACTTCACCATCCTGCAGGTATGGGGGCAGCAGGGTTGTGGGGAGTCCCACAGGCCAGGGCCTCCAAGTTAGGTAGCCAGACACATCGCTGGGATGAGAGGCAGAGATCCGGAAAGGAGAATGGTCTGCTCAGCCCCCTGCCCCATGGCCGTGTTCTCCCTGACCTCCTGAATCTCTTACCTGCTCGTCCCCCAGGTGGTCACGAGCCGGGACTCCCAGGAGACCCTGCTTGTCATTGCTTTTGTCTTCGAAGTCTCCACCAGCGAGCATGGGGCCCAGCACCACGTCTACAAGCTCGTCAAAGACTAGGGTGCTCTCTGCGCCTCCATAAGGATGCAGGGTGAGCATCTCCTCTCCACACCTGCCTGGCACCCCTGGGGGGGTCCAGGATTGAGGATTCATCTACCTGCCAGGCCTCAGGCCCAGGACCAGGAGGCCTCCCCACCTACCCCAGCACATACACTCCCTGCCACTGTTCTGCGCTTTAATTGTGGGAGAAGAGAGGAGAGGAGGGCTCAGCGGTGGGGCAGCCTGTCTGGGGCGCTGGCCCACCATCACCCCGCTCTGCCAAGCCTCGCATGACCTCAGAGAGGTGGGGATAGGGGACACTTTCAGCCTCCGGCATGTGTGGCCACTGCCCCCTCACCCCCCGCTGGGGAAGCGTGATGGGCAGGTGAGGGCAGGATGGAGACCAAGGGAGTCAGTGAGTGGAGGCCCTGGGAAAGGAGAGTGTCCGGTCAGGGTTGGGCTGAGGACAGAGGGGACCATACATCTTTGCCCCTCTGTGTCCCAGGCCTGGTGCCCAGACTCCTTGCATGGCTTATGCAGTCCTCAGACTCTGCACAGCGAGTGTGGGTCTCTGGGTTTCAGATGAAGTGCCCAGGCTCCAGGAAGTTGAGGGACCCACAGGAGAGGTGGGCAGAGCTGGAGTTCTCATCCAGGGCTGCTTGTCCCCAGAGCCCAGGTTTACACTACCTCCCTGGGGCGGGGGCTGGCCGCAGGGTAGGGGAGAGGCTCTGCAGTGTGAGGGGTGGAGCCTCATTGAGGGCAGCTGGGTTAGGGGAGCACCTGTTTCAGATTGGGCATGAAGAGGGGAGCACAGTAGCTTAGACCCCATTGGCACCCCACAAGCCAGCCAGGGGCCCCAGGAAGATGGGGCACCCCCCAGCACCCTCCAGATTGAGGGCAAGGTAGAGGAAGGAGTCCCAGCCTCTGGGCAGACCAGAGGCCCAGAGAGAGGGGCTAGCAGAAGGCTTTTGGGTTTTCTCTTGCCTGAGGCTTGGATCTGACAAACGCTTTGTGGGCACTGCTCCCTTAGATTCTTCCCCACCTCAGTCTACCTGCCTAGAGTAGCAGCGCCCAGACCCAGTTCTGGGACTGAAGGTTAACCCTTCACCTGCTGCCCCTTCTCAACACCCAGGCCCCCAGAGCCAGCCGGGCCTGTCCAGCAGCCACCTGTGGGTATTTATGAGTTTCATATGAAGTACTGTGCCCCTTCCCTTCCTCATCCCGACCCTGCCCGAGCTTCCTGAAGGTCCTCACCGTTTGCATATCGCTCAGGCCACCTCCAAACCCCACCTAGGTTTTATAATGTATATTATATATTTTTTTTGTGTATTTTTAAAATCCAGCTGTGATGGGTTGTATCATAAATGCAGCTTGGGGTTGGAGCAGGGGCCATCAAAGCCCAGCTCCTGCTCAAAAAAAAAAAAAAAAAATTAAAAGTTATTTGTTTGTGGGTCACTCAAGTAACCAGTTAATGTGCCAGACCCTGGGATTGCAACAGCTTCAGTTGAGGGCTCCTCCCAGGTCCTGGTATATCATCACCCCCAACCCCTGCAATGCCATCTCCTGGGGGGCCCCAAGCCCTACCCACACTCAACATTTCCCTCATTCCCTCCTGCTTCCAGCTGAGCACTTGTATGTGCTGGCCTGAGGTCACCTGAGGGAAGTGATTTGCTCAAGGTTGCACACTGACTGAGATGGAAGCTCCAGGGCCCCCTGCTAAGCCAGCACAACACAGACCAAAGCCTGGGGGTTAGCAGTTGACCCTAAGTGACTCAAGGAGGGTAGGCGCTCTCCCCAGGTGACAGCTGCTGACCTACCATGTCTGCCTGGAAAGCCCTGCTGTCCTGAGCCACCTGTCCTCAGTAGGGACAGACCAGAGTCCCTAGCGGGCTGGGGGCAGACAGTCCAAGACTTTCAGCGGCCAGGCACAGTGGCTCACACCTGTAATCCCAGCACTTTGGGAGGCTGAGGTGGGTGGATCACGAGGTCAGGAGATCAAGACCATCCTGGCTAACATGGTGAAACCCCATCTCTACAAAAAAAAAAAATACAAAAAGTTAGGCGGGTGTGGTGGCACGCGTCTAAAGTCTCAACTACTTGGGAGGCTGAGGCAGGACAATAGCTTGAACCCGGGAGGTGGAGGTTGCAATGAGCCGAGATTGCACCACTGCACTCCAGCTTGGGCGACAGAGCTAAACTCCATCTCAAAAAAAAAAAAAAAAAAAAAAAACTTTCAGCGAACATTTTCTCAAGAGACTGTTCCAGCTTTTTCAAACTGCAGTTAAATATGGGTGAACTGATTGGACTCACTTGTCACAGGATGAAACTGTATTTGCTCTGAGGGTGGCAGGCTAGAGATAAGACTCTAGAATAAAGGGTTAAACAGAATGGGGATGACCCAGTTAAATTTTATTTCAGATAAACAGATGATTTAAGTATGTTCCATGCAATACTAAGGACATCCTGCATTTTTATTTATTTGCTAAATCTGGCAACCCTCTAGAATCTAGTCTTCTAGGTCATTCTAGTCCAACCTTCAAGTTAATACATGGGGAGAACTTGAGACATGTTAAATGTACTTCTCACAGCCAGTCACTGCCAACATCTATTCCAACCTGGTCTGCCTGACTCCACATTGTGTGCCTGGTATCCCACTAGGGAGCCCCAAACTGTCCTGCTGGATGGATGGATGGGAGGGTACCCAGAGCTCCAGTAGGTAGGAGGGGTCCAGGAGGCAGAAATTCCTTTGTTGGAGGATCCACTGGATACCGATTACATCTGTGGGTGATTAGCACACAAGAGCCTTCAGATAATTGCTTTTGCTTTAAGCTAAAGTTTCCCTTTTCCTTCTGATTGCAAAGATCACAGGTTTAGAAAATACAGAAAAACCCAAAGAAAAAGTAACCTAAACAAGTAGCTGGCTGGACTTGTCTTTAGAACCAAAATTCACTGCTCATCCTCATTAGGTTTTATATCTTTCTTACCAAGAAAGTGCTGTAACTAGCCGGGCGCAGTGGCTCACGCCTGTAATCCCAGCACTTCGGGAAGCTGAGGTGGGCGGATCACGAGGTCAGGAGATCAAGACCATCCTGGCTCACACGGTGGAACCCCGGCTCTACTAAAAATACAAAAAAAATTAGCCGGGCATGGTGGCGCACACCTGTAATCCCAGCTACTCCGGAGGCTGAGATAGGAGAATGGCGTGGACCCGGGAGGCAGAGCTGGCAGTGAGCTGAGATGGCGCCACTGCACTCCAGCCTGGGCTACAGAACAAGACTCCGTCTCAAAAAAAAAAAAAAAAGGGAAGTGCTGTAACTTAAAAGCTAAAAGCTAAAAAAGCAAAAGCTGCTCAGAGTGAAAACCCTGTTCTTCAGTTCAGGGACAGGGAAAGCTTGTTTTGAGAAATGCGGCATCTCCCCCAGACCACCACTGATGACTCTTGGTGTCACCCAGGCTGGAGTGCAGTGGCGCAATCTCGGCTCACTGCAACCTCCACCTCCCGGGTTCAGTTTTGCCTCAGCCTCCCAAGTAGCTGGGATCACAGGCGTGAGCCACCATGCCCAGCCAAAATGCATTTTTAAGCACTACTTTTATGCTTTAAAGTAACCCTTCTCAGCTGGGTGTGGTGGCTCATGCCTTTAGTCCCAGCACTTTGGGAGGCCGAGGCAGGCAGATCACAAGGTCAGGAGATTGAGACCATCCTGGCTAACACGGTGAAACCCCGTCTCTACTAAAACTACAAAAAAAAAAAAAAAAAAAAAAATAGCCAGGTGTAGTGGCAGGTGCCTGTAGTCCCAGCTACTCAGGAGGCTGAGGCAGGAGAATGGCGTGAACCTGGGAGGCAGAGCCAGCAGTGAGCTGAGATTGTGCCACTGCACTCCAGCCTGGGCAACAGAGCGAGACTCCGTCTCAAAACAATAATAATCCTTCTCAGCTAGTCATGGTGGCTTATGCCTGTACTCCCAGCACTTTGGGAGGCTGAGCTGTGTGGATCACTTGAGGTCAGGAGTTCAAGGCTAGCCTGGCCAACATGGTGAAACCCTCTCTACTAAAATAAAAAAAAAAAGTTTAGTTGGCCATGGTAGTATTGCTGCCTGTACATCCAGCTACTTGGAGGTTGAGGCAAGAGAATCCAGGAGGCGAGAGTTTGTAGTGAGCAGCGATCTCTGTGCCCACTCAGTTGTGGGTGGACAAAGGGAAACATGGGTATAGGAGGCTAGGCGTGGTGGCCCCTCATGCCTGTAATCCTAGCAACACTTTGGGAGGCCTGGAGGCAGGCAGATCACAATGTCAAGGAAAGATTGAGACTATCCTGGCTAAGCCAGTAAGAAGCCCCATCTCTAAGCTAAAAAAATAGCAACAAAATTAGCCAGTGTGGTAGCATGTGCTGTAGTTCCAGCTACTTTGGAGGCTGAGACAGCTGAGAATGGTGGTGGAACCCAGGAGATTCATGTATAAAGACATTGAAAGGCTATGACGCCCTTAAAATGCTCTTGCTTATACAGAGTGCCAAAATGTGTGTTTTGGATGGTTGTATTGGTGCCTATTTCTCTGTGCCTCCTCGTAACTTCTGCGCCTTTTGCCACGCCTGTCGCCCTCATACTATACAACGCCGAGACTGTCTCCCATCTCCAAAATTATCAAATAAAAATCCACATACCAATAAGTATAGCGCATTAGGGACTAAGGAAGTTAAATTGCCAGATGAAATAGATGGCGTCTCCATGAATAGATACTCAATTTTGATTAACTGTTGGAATATAAACAGGCGAGTTAGAAACAAGAGACTAAATCGAAAAACAAACTGAGAGTTTTATGGCTAGAGAGCTCATGCACACCAAGGCTCTAATTCGCACTCTTCAGGCCATCTTATAGCTTTCGCGCAACGCGCATATATTACAGCCAAGCCCCAGTGCTAGACAGGCAGCTGCCAACATAAATGCCTTCAATGCCTTGTTGTCCTGCAGGAAGTTGATGACATCATTTGTCCTGCTGGCAATGTGACCATGCGCAATTATGCAGATCATCTGTTGAATACATGCCTTTACAAAAGTCAAAAAGCATCTGCCTGCTGCCATAGATGAGGGTAACACTGGCGCCATCTCCAGTGCAGTTATGCAGCCAAGAAGTGTATATAAAGAACAAATCTGGAGCTCAGGAGAGACAGGGGAAACTTCATTTTATGCGTCTCGCGCTCACGCAGATATATTATGCGGGAGAGAACAGAATGCTGCAGGCTGCGCGGCCTCTGAGCGCGACGCATGCTGGCAAGGACCCTGGAATACTGTGTTGGCTTCCCTGTACGAAAAATTTGGAGAGCGGAGAGGCGTCTTAATGAGGTCTGTTGGACTTATATCGCAAGAGCCGTATTCACATGCGCTCGCAGTTTCTTTCTGTGTGAAAATTTAAGGAAATAATAACCAATCATAAAGTTTTGTGGGGGGATTTAAGGAGATAGTATGGTAGAGTGATTAACATTGTAGAGAGAGCTTAACGAATCCGATCCATGATATTCTATAGCTTTCTGCCGCGCTGAACTATGTGGTGTTCAAAGAGACAGCAGTAGACAAAAAGGCGCAGTTCAATTCAGTAACTTTGATGATGGATTTCTCATTTTACATATCCAGAGGATAGTTAGTATGGCTGATGCTAGAAAGAACTTGACTACAGCTCACATAAAGTTTCCTCACAATCTTGTCTCTGGCGTTCCCAAGCTCCAACCGTACCGGGTAGTGTGTCCGCGGGGCGTCAAGGCTCAGTGAAGGGACTGGGGGGGGCTAAATCACCTGTGAAAGAACCGGCGTTTGCTCATTAAGGAGTTTCGACGGCAAAACCTTTTTCTAAAAATGAGTCCGTTATAGAGTTTCCAACGCTTGTGTTTCCATTTTTGTCCTGTGAACAAATATGCGAGTGCACACTACAAGCCGAGCGGGAAGCTTCTTGTAGCATATTTGATGAGGTTAGACCTAATGGGGATAGCAAACGGCTCTTGGTAATTTACCTTGTGTACTTTGTGATAATGTGCTTGGCTTCAAGGCGTCACGCAGGCCTTTCCAAACATTAACTCTATTTGTCACCTCGTTACATTTACATTTTGCAATGGCTCGGAAAGTTAGACTTCTCTTCTCTGTGGCTGAGAAGACTAGAGATTTAAAAAAGCGTATGCATCCTAGCCAAGTTGGCCGCAGTAATCTGACTGTAATCTGGCCCCTCAGAAATATGTCAATAGCACGTACAATTATGACGTACAGCTGACATCCTCTAATCACACAAAGGAAACCTTTGTCCAGGGTGTTTTGCCATCGTGGACCACCAGACTGCCAACTGAATGCTGTGTTTGTGGTACGTCGCTCATATAGTCCTCAAGCAAGGTGTAGGAGCACAACAAGAGTCGCTAATCCCAGGCCCATTGAGTAGCTATACGCGCTCGTGAGCGCCATGCGACTGCGGAGAGTTAGAACGAGTTGCCCTTGAATCTGGGCATGAATGAACCAGGAGCAAGCCGTAAGCTACAAAGAATGCTATGTAGTTCAGCGACACCCGCAATACGAGACTGAGATCCGCACCACTGCCTCCATTCCAGCCTGAGGCTACTAAGTGCACATTAAGAAGAGCTGGGAAGGCTGATTATATTTGTCATTACTGAAGCCAAAAAAAAAAAAAACAAACCCGGGTGAACAAAGGAAGAGAGAAAACCAATATGTGTAGCCGTACGCTGCGACCACCATCTTCAGCACCCGCTCCTTCTGGAATCCAGGGAACAGCATTCATTTCAGAATGTAGGTATTGACTCAGGTCCTAGTTTAGCTGGTTCCCTTATGTCGTCTCATTGTAATCATCGACAACAACCACGTTACATTACTGGTTTTCATGTTAAATGTGTTATGGCATCTTATGGCGATATGGTGTATGCGATGTGACTGTAAGTATGGGCGTTGGCGCTGGTCTGTCACCCGTATGTTTTTCTATTCAATGCTTACCTTCCATGAATTCTTCCTTTCAAGGCTGCCTAACATATATCTAATAATTCTATGACTCCTCCTTTGCACTCCTATCCCTTTCCTATTTACAAAAGCTTACATATATCAGTGCTGTTGCGCCCATTGTGTAGTGCTGGAAGGCGTAATTTATTAAGCACATGTGTGTGGACTGCGACTGTGTGTTTGGGTGGTGTATATGTGTATTAGGATATATGGCTGCGCAACATAATTGGTGGTTGTGTGGCCATTACGGTTTCTATTGGCAAACTACGAGCATATTATATAGTAGGCACAGACAAATGCTCTGACCTCAAACTCACAGTAGCTATGGAAATGTGATATACTTGCTAGTGTACCACTATGGTATAAATTAAGGATTCTCATATAGTCATAAACTAATAAGAGATTAGTAAATGAATGCTATTCATGCTTCTCCTAACAACTCTTCATATGGCACTCGTTAGCTAGCATGCAATTACATTTGCGTTTAGAATTTTAAAAATTATTTGTGTGGTTGTTCTTGATTATAGTTTATCTCATCCTTCTTAGAAGATCTGTGAAAACTGACAAAAACAAAAACCTATCCATAACCACAGAGCTAGCCTATATTTAGTAGGCAGAACTCATCTTCACCAAAAGTATAGATACCAAACAACTAACACATGTTTTTTGGGCGTTATGATTATCTTAGCCGATGAGGATTGCCTGGCCAGAAAGTAAGATATCCACAATGCAATTAAACCTGAGTTCAACAAGCCCATAGGTGGACCCAAAGAAAAGTGCCGAATGGGAAAGCCCCATAAGCCTTGATAAGGCTGATTTGAAACTCGCAAAAGCTCTATCTCACCAATAGCACCGATCATACCATGGAACTCACAGGCAGACAGAGGGCGAAGGCACTGCGTAAAGCAGAAATTTACTGGTCAAATGTGTTCTCAGAATGTTTGTGTCATTAATATAGGTCTGTGGCTAGTATGGGGGCCTATCTCTCTAGATATTGTGTAGGCTCTGGAAAAACAGGTATTAGTGTGAGTCTGTCGTTGAGTGGTTTACCACTCTCATGGACCCTTTCTCCATGGGCCAAATTTCTATATGGAGACTGAGCAGACCTTTATTAAAAATCTCAGGAACAATGTTTAAC